AAAAAAAAAAAAAAAAAAAAAAAAAAAAAAAAAAAAAAAAAGGAAAACGTAGATATATAATTGAAACTGTACAAAACAGCTTTAGAAACATGTCAAAAAAAAAAAAAAAAGAGATGGAAACAAATACCACTCGCCCACCTGTCCCTTAATGTGCAAACATACTGATCTTCCTGAATGATCTCTTTTATTTTACATTTGTTCATTCAATGGTTCCACTGAGCGGTTCGCTTTTATAAATCAAAGCGTTCACATTTTGTCAGCGGATATCCATCCATCTTTACACTGTAAATAAGGTTTGTTTTAAAGTCCATAACTTCACATGTAAAACTAAGAACATAAGGGAGGCTAGAGAGATGGTGGTGGTGTGCGGAGTGGCGGTATCATGGGAAAAATGAAGATAAACGTATAGTTGGGAGAGGGCAGGACAACCGGACTGGGACTGATGTCGCACTGCGTTGGTGCCTTCCCTCAACCACTGATCGTGTCTGAGCTGGGTGAAACAAAAGGTTGGTAAACCTACAAATAGTCCACTGAATGCTGGTAGATACTGCTGCAGCCTGGGTTCCTCAGACGCACACTTCCAAACCATAGAGACACAACATCAACCACCTCTGCCAAATATCAGCTACAAGTGTGCTGTCGTGTAGACGAGTCAAAGTAATGAACATTCTATAACAAAGACATTTGTACATGCAGACGGTATGTGTAGGATTTAGGTAATTTCAACGTTTCCATAATTGCCACCGATGACAAGGCAAAATTCAATTAAAAAAAAAACTAAATATTTACTTATTTGACTTTGGCCAACAAAATTAAAAGCTTGAGGAGAATCAACATTCCTGTAAGTCGAGTAGTTTAAATGGTCATTTTCCAGATGCATATGAGAAACCCAGAAACCCAACTATGTTGCATTAGGCTGGTAATATACTCAAAATGAAACCAAACCTGGCCTGTTCTCTCACCCATGGCAGAGCTGCAGTCTGATGACATGTCAGCAAAGTCATCCGACAGATATTTGACTTCCATAATAGTTTAAGTGCAACCATTCAACCTTCGGAAGAACTTGCAAGATGTGACTTCATTAAATGAAAAGACTGGCAGTTACACTGATTTAGCACACTGCATTCAGAGAACACGGCAAAAATCTGATTTAGTTTTGCGTATACTGAAAATGCTTCAGTGACCATCAGTCCCAAAGAGGGGCGTGTGTTGTCTCAGCGGCGGTGACGGCTATGTCCTGAGTGCCCACTACTACTGCTGTGGTGTTTGCTCTTGTGGCCACGCTCCCGCTCCCGGTCCCGGTCGTAGGACCGAGACCTCTCCCTCTCCCTCCGGTCTCCTCGATGGCCACCTCCTCGCTCGTGTTTGTGTTTCTTTGTGGAGAGGTCAAAGGAGCCGCGGTCTCTGTCTCTCTCCCGTTCCCTCTCTCGGTCCCGTTCCCGGTCTACTTTGACCGGAGTGCGGGATCGTGTGCGAGAGCGCGAGCGCTTCCTCTTGTGACCGGTTCCTCCACCTCCACTGTTGCTGTGGCGGCTGCTGGGCTTGGAGTCGCTATTGTTGCCGTGGTGGCTGGACTTGGACTTGAGGTGGGGGAGGAGGGGGGAGGGCGGATGGCGGCGAGGCGATGGACTACGACTGTGAGAGCGAGAGCGTGAGCGAGAACTGTACGTCCCCGAGCGACTGCGTCTGCTGTTGTAACTGTGGAAAGAGAAGCAAAAGAGGAAGATGAGCAATACATTCAGCTAGTTAAACATAAATAAAAGTTATGTTTAACTAGAACATTTTGACATAAACAAGTGATCTTACTGTCTGCGAGGTGAGCGGGATCTAGACCTGGAACGTGTTCTTGAACGAGATCGACTTCTGCTCCTGCTGTTCCTCCCAATCTTCATGTCTTTCCTTAAGCTGAAAAAAAGCCCCATATATATTAGGAACTAATGAAAATAGAAAGACAAACACCGTTAGATAAGTGGCATGACAGCCATCTCGTACTCTGAGTAACTTAATGAAGGCAAAAGGAAAGCATTTAAGGAAAGTGAGGGTGGCTATTGCTAAAACATGCGTTTATTTCCTACCCATTGTGTGGACTCTTGTTGACCTGAGTCCGGCTCTCTGGCTCCTTCTTAACGGGTTTGAGGGTCTGGGGGTTTGGAGACTTCTCCTCCACCTTTGCCACATTTGGGGTGCTGGGCTTGGAAGCCGGAGAGAAGCCCCCCAGCGTGGACAGTGCAGGGGTACCGTCGGGGTTCAGGCCTTTAGCTTTCAGCTTGGCCTCGGTCAAGAACATTTTCCTCCGGTCCACCTCCTTCTCCATCTGGTCGTAGTTCGGCTGGGGAAGAAATCACGCCGTCAGTTTACACAGACGACTGTGAGCAAATAACACCATATTATAAGTGTCGTTGACTAACGTTTCTGAACTCAATGCACCAAATGAAGTAAGCTTTTAATCCCAAATCTAGACCGTCTTTTCAGTCTACGACCAATGATGGATAGTCAGGTTCCTAATTATATATCATACACGCTTAAAATGTCATCTGGGCAAAATTTGGGGATGAAATGAAGCATGCTGAAATATTCAAATGCAGATATTTCCACAACTATCTATTAACTAATGCATTATTCATATGATGCACGGTCACGCTAGTACTGTGCTCTCTAAAGATGCCTACCTTCTTCCTGGTGTAGAGCTTGAGGGTGGTGATGCAGACTTCTTTAACCTCCTCCTCACTGGCTCCAAACAGAAGGTACCAGTTAGGTCTGGATGGCAGAGGGATCTGGCAGACACATGCACAGAAGGTAGTATTATGTGAAAGGTACAATACTGTAGAGCTAGAGAGGATTTGAGTAGGCAACATGTAGTCCAAAAACAGTGATAAAGCATTTGTGGCCATGTGAAAACTACCTGCAGGGCTCGAGCAGCGAGGAATATGCAGGCACAGGCGATGGTCTCGGCTTGGAATCTCACAAACACGTTTGTCCTCAGGGTATCATTCATGTAGTTCCTATGAAGACAAAAACAACACATAGAAACAAAAACATAGCATCTTCTCTACACAAAGCCACCTCTTACCCATACCGACACACTTAAAGACGTGTCACAGCTGTAGCCGCAGGTCGTTAGTCGGTCAGTGATCGGCTGATTTATCAGGGCTTTATGTTTTTAACTTTCTGATAAAGATTTAGATTTTTCATTCCTTTTTAAAACTTAGCTCAATCTTACGACTAAGAAACAACCTCTTCACCACCCAGACATTTCGGTGGGTGACTGTTGAACAAGCATCAACACTAACGGCTCACTGACTAAGGATTAGACCAACAGAGGCCCTAACAGCATCAAATCAATCATAAGCCCTGATAGCGATAAAGACCATGGTTATACAGTTTGAGTTACACAGTTCTGAGGAGCAATATGCACTTGGATCTGTCAAAATTTAACTTTGTCCATTTCTCTCTGGGGCATCCATGGGAGTGCTGTATGTCACAGGTAAAGCATGAAGACACAAATGGGGGAAAAAAAAAAAATCTACTGAAGACCTGCCAACACCATTTTACCACACTGACCTTTGAGTAGCTAGATTAAGACTAATGATTGAGATTATGACATGCCGTGTGTGGAGGGGGGGGGGGCATGCAGACACACGGATTCAACACATTCATGGAGAATGCAGTTGCTTTCAAACGGTTACATCTGAGAGAATAGGGAGGCACAGCATGTATGGTGGCATGCACGACAGCTAGAGTCTGGGAGTCAGTGGCATGTTGATGTCATCAAATGATGCAGCACTGGCAGAATATTCTGACAACCTGCTTGTGATACTCACATTGATGGGAAGGCTTAACTGCAAAACAGTAACCACTTTTAAATGAAGATGAATGCTTTCCAGCCACATTTTAAAACGAACCCCCGGAAGACCACTGATCGTCTTCAACCCCATTTCACTTTAACTCATCTAGAAAGACATTAGGTGGCAACGTAGGCCTCACTACTTCGGTTAAGTGAAATCTCTGTGATATAAACAGATTATGTGTCAGTGGGTTGTCTGGAACAATGGATAAATTAGATTAGCCATGAAGAGTTAGGAAAAAAAGGAAAGACAAAATGGCCAGGATGTGAATCAGAGGAGTACAGGGTGATGTGAGCATCTATGTCCTTAAGAAACATAGAAGTCCTAAAGACAAAAAAAGTGTGATAACAGAAACATGATGGTTAAACCCCGGTAAACTAGCACTGATCCCATTCAGATTATCAAGAGGAACAACCAGCAACAAAAAAAACAACTAATCACAAAGCAGTGAAAAGTCTCCAAATACTGTGTGTCAAGTTCCACAGTTCGACTCAAATAACATGAGCTGCTCTGCTGGAAGCATGCCACAAGTATCTCATAACGACATTGCCACACCAGGATTACTTCCAGTCTAGCCAGCCTTCATCGAACGACCTGCACTTTGGCATGTCGGCGTGAACCCGCTCTGCTAACGCTACCATAGATAACACAGGGCCGCTGGATTCTGACTGCTGCGTGGGTGAGACAGGTCCGTGGAGGAAAAACCTGAGAACTGGATCAGCCTGTAAGACAGACACATGTCTGGACACCAAGTAAGTTGGGGACAGGACACAGTATACTACTGTAAATAATAATAAAAAAATAGGCAGGTAAACTGGTCAAAAAAAAGAAGTTATTCTGTTGTGTCTAAGTTTACTTCATTGCTAGATGCAAGTAAACTAGAAAAAAAAAGTCAGAATATAAATGTATATGTAGCTACTTAGCAAAACTGGGTATTACAGTTAAAACCTTTGTAGCAAGACCAAAAAAATACAAATCCTTTTGGACACCCAAGAGAAAACAAGATGATGTTGGCTGTTGGGAAAGGCCCGCCCGCCCCCTTCAGTGAATCTCGGCATTGGGATTGGCTGTCTGGAGAGGGGCAGCCAGCCAATGGGGGGAGCTTCCTTAGGTCATGTGGTTGGAGGAGGCAGAGTTCAGAGGTTCTTTATGTGACTTACCAGCATGGACTACCCTTTAATCAAAGAGTAGAGAGAAAGGACAAAGTTAAACCAAGTTCCACGGGCAGCGCAAATCAAACAGACTTTACAGCAAAGCCATGTAAGGGCAGACAAGAGTGTGAGACACGCAACAGGTTTGCAATAAAAAAAAAAATTCTCCATCAGAAACAAAAAATAAAGAGGTGGAAGGGTTAAAATGGAGTGAGGGAACGTCGCAGTCAAACCTGGGCGAAATGGTGGTTGAATAATTTTCAAAATTTGTGCTTAAGAACACATGGGGGCACTTGAACGTCACTTATCCGACAGGTGGTGTCGTTTCCACATATGGGTTTGTTCCGAGATCCTAGCAGATAAATCAAGTGCTCTTCAAGCGGTTCAACCATTTGAAACTCGTTCAACGTAATATTTAGCCCAGGTCTGGTGGCACTTCTTGCAGACATGACACAGGTTGCTGCTGTGGGAGATGGACATTGGAGAACTAGGGAGGAACTTACCAGGCCGTCTGGACCAGCGTCTGGTTCTTCTCACATTCGAGGACTTGAAGGTACATGACGATGATCTGAAATCATAAAAAAAAACAAAAAACTGTACGTTAAAAACACAGTAACGCCTCCAGATGCTTCAGAATATTCTGCAAAAGCTGCTTCTTGTGTGGTTGCAATAGCTGAAGTACACTGCGCAGCACAACTTAAATAGGTGCAAGTGTGGCTTGAACTCACCTTGTGAGGATGCTTGACGTGCACACAGAAGCCCAGCTCCTTCAGGATCCGCCGTTCTGCTTTGATGACTTGGTTTTTGGTATTTATGTAGTTCTGATCAAGTATCAATGAACTTGGAGTCCTGGTTCATAAAGGAATCAAAATAAAATAATGTTTCCCCCTTTGGAAATAAAAATAAATAAAGAAAGTGCCCTTTTGATTTCTTGCACTCTTTTCTTTTTTTGTTCCCGTTTCAACCAACTAAAAGCAACAGGTTTAACTGTTTGCATGCCTGACAGTTTGCTGGGGGTTGAGGACTCCTGTGGTTCACGTGAAAGCGTTATGGGATTTTGTAGACGGCCCTCTACCTCATTCACCAGGTGTCACAGCTTTTACAGAAATATCAACTCAGACCATCGCCCACATCAAGACCGCAACATGAGAAATATTTTACAATCTTCAAACATGGACTAGAATAAAAACCCAAAACTACTATGACGAGATGTCACAAATCATTCTCACCTATTCTTACATACTGTATACACCAGTTAAGTTAATAATCTGTTATGTAACCAAAACCACTTGACTTTCATTCATAGTACAGCAGCATATCCAGACCAAAAACCGTCACTGCAAACAGAACACTGTACAAACCTACAACACATCTGCTGGTTGAACACAGATCATTTCAAATGCTACTAATAAACAGATTTTCAGCATTCATTACAATAACTGCATTAACCTTAAGATTAGATGCATTCTGATCTATAAATCTGTAAACAGACGGTGTGTCGGCCTCCCTATAATACATCAAGTACCATGTATGATATGCAGTATATATCACAATACCAGAATAAATAGAACTTTAAAACACTTTCAGAATAATTTAGCATCTTTACAAACAATGATCAAATCAAAATCTAGCATTCTGATGTCTCAAATAACAAATTTAATGTGAATACTGTCATGCTAAAAGCCACATGCATGGTAAACGCATCTGTGTGATGTCCATTATTTAACACGACCAACAGTCCAAATCTACATCTAAATCAACAGACTTGCTTCAAGTGCACCACGGTTACGGTTACAGTTACTCTTAATTGGTTCATATTCCCTTGAATTTAATACCAATCTCTTAAAGCTAGAGTGCTAATGCACTGACCCTAAACTAAAACATAAGCCGCATGGACTACTAAGTATCCAATTAATGACTCCAACCTCAACAAGGTGATATTTCTATAAAAGCCATGGGTTGGCAGACAGTTGGTGAATGGGTTTTTTTACTCTTAAAGCACAAACAAGATGCACGGTGAAGAGCAGTCAGTGAAGGAGACTACGTTACCCAAACGGTCCGCAGAGTGACGGACAGATACCCAAAAGCTTAAGATTGAACCACAGGAGTCCTCAAGGCGCCCCGGGGGGCCAAGGACCTTCGGCCAACCTGTCATCCCCGATCCCAGTGCCCCACGGGGGTTCAGACCACGGGCGTCTCCCACAGGAGGGGGTGGGGTGGCCCTGGGGGGGGGAGGAGAGACCCCCTTGCATCATGGTTGTCATGCCGACTGCTTCGTCTTACGTACCATTCCACATCACCCAGGCTTTGGTAAATGTAGCTGGTCGCTGTTAGTTGGTTGCAAGGGAAAAAAGAAGCCAAGTTAATGCCACGGTCTATAGAATAGACATGAACAGATTTCTATGAAGACAAAAGGCACACGCGCTAATAGAGCAGCGGTGCCTCGTCTTAAAATGCTCGTCAATTATTAAAAGCGAGTTTGTCACGATATCAATTTCAGTGTAACGTCAAACTCAGATGTTATAAGGTAGACAATTACACTTCAGAAACTACCAGTGAAGCGGAAACTGAAAAGTTTTAAAATGGTTTAGAGTACAAGGATATACAGAAGAGCACTTTCACAGCAAAAAAAAATAAAATACAATACAACATTAAAATAGTTATTTTTTTATTTCACAAAAGAGAAGACTGTGTTCATTGGCGATACTTACTTTTTGCCTCGGATCTGTCTCAGATGGTGAAAAACATTTATGACGTCTCGAATTCGTCGCGGTGCTTCCTCAATCTTGGAGGCCAAGTTGATACAAGCCATCGCAACAATCTGGAAAGAAGATGATTGAAACAAACGATTGGAAGACAGAGTATAATAACCTATGGCATGCATCCAGAGATAATAGAGTACAGACACATTAAAATATACCAATGAGGAGACATAAATGTACCAACAATCAAGAAATGTTCCTATGTGCCTATTTATACTATGGTAGCTACTATTTTAATATCTCTGGAAGATTTACATCACGTGGGAGGAGTTATTATCGGAGAATAGAACAGCTTTAAAGAAATTATAAATTTGTATATAATTTTGTTTTTGCACATCACAATGAACAGTGTGATTGAGCATTTACCATATTGGGCAGAACTTCTCAGACAGACCAATCAAATAGTTGTAGTAATACTAATTGTGTCACTATATTTTTATATATTGAGTTTTTAAAGTTGCTGATATTACTGGTAGAATGAGAAGATGTATAATGTTACATTGACTAGCCAACAAACGACCAATTGAATCTAGAACAAAAAGGTTTTAAGACTCTTAAGATAAACTTACACGTGCAACGTTTGCAATACTTTTATATTATTTAAGTTCTTCCACTATAGAAAATGAATGATTAGATTCGGTGTTATTATTGTACTGCAAGTATTTGATTAGTTTCCTCTTGATTTGAATTATGTCCCCTCTTCGTCTTACAGCAGTTCATAAACGCTGGTACAACGTATCGACAACATGGCCGCCATGAAACGTAACCACAACGATATAAGCCATGCTAACATTAAGCTATGCTAACATTAGTATAACCAGCGGCCTGACAGTGAGCCAGAGGCTTAAACTGACTTACCTCAAAACTGTGCTTGACGAAGGACTTGGAGTAGAAAAAACGATGAAACAGTACTTGCCCCGTTGCCATTGCCACCTGTCGAGAAAGATACAGACCTTGTATAAGGAGGCCTAACCTTACACAATGGACCGCCGCCATTTTAACTACACCACGCCAACGTTACAAAAGATAACGTTAGCAAACAGCTAACACCAGGCCATGAAAAATACTAACATTTCCTCAATGTGAATAAAACACACACCGACATATATAATACGAAGCAGTCTTTACCTGCGGTAACCGGAGGAGAATGCCCGCCGACTGGATCAGTTCACACCCGAGGATGCGAAGGTCGGTCTCTGTGTTCAAGTCGAGGCCGTCGACCATCGACGGCGTCGGAGAGAGCCTTTCCTCCGGTATGAGCGAGTTGTCGATCGTAAGGTACACTTCCGAGTAAACTTTGTCACCGATGAGGATGCCATCGTTGTTTGTGGATGCGTTAGACGAGACAGAGAGAGGACCTGCGGCCATTTTCACCCAGAAAAAGCGATTTTTCGGTTTTCAGCAAACAACTCGTCCAGCCTCGACGGAACGACGGCGGAGCAGGGTGACTGACAAAGCACGTGACGTAACCGGCTTGTCTGACGCAAACGTTTGTGCACATCCGCGCCGATAAAATAGTTCCTCGATACTCAAGCGTTGAACAAAAACTACATGACATTTTGCTCCCAAATGTTCACGAACTTCACTGGAGTGTAACATGCATTTAATCGGTCACCGTTAATCAATTGGTCAGTCAATTACCGGTTATTTTTCTTCTTTTCTCTCACCTGTTTGGAGATTGCAACTGCACACTCCCGACAGTCTAAACAAAGTTAATCACGCATTATACAAATAGTTAATAAACAGATCCGCTGATCTGAGATGCAAATGGCTCCATGGTTTTCCCATTACAAATGATGATATCTCATGCTTCCTTCACGAGCTCCATGTGAGCTCAACTTTCCAATATCAGAAGTATTTTAGATGTCAAATAATGACAAATGAATCCTAAAACAGTTAATAGTTGTTGGTCAAAACTGTTTCACTATCTTAATTGACACTACAGACCCTGTAATCCGGCATCCAGAAAGAAAACACCAGAGAAGTGTCTCACTCGATTTAACCGATTTATATTTAAATTATTATATGGAGGCTCAGTTTTACAATTAATTAAAACAATACCCCCCATGTATTTAGCCCCTTAAATATCACTTCGTATTAGAAATAAAGACATCTCATTATATCATTTCATTAGTGTAGTCGGTAAGTGTGTTATTTCCAACATCACGCGAAGGCAACAGAAGGAAACGACTCACCACTAAGGGTTTCAGTGACGTGCATTACGGGAAAGTCCTGACTTCTCACCCATGGAACATATCCATCCGCCAATTAGGAGAAATATGAGTCACAGCGGATACTTAGATTTTATTATGAACTCGCTGTCGTATTTTACACAAAATGTACAGGAAGTCAGTGATATCAGCTTTGTTATTTTACTTTTAACCGTTTAAAGCAGTAACCCAGGTAGGGTGACCAGGACAAAATGGTTTAAGACAAACTCTGAGCTTGATTTTAGGACTTCGGCATTGATTCTGTGAAAGAAGGCGCAGCCTCATGTGAACAGTTTGTACGGGGAACATTGTGTTCACTCCCTCCAGGAAGGTGTAGCCTGAAGCCCTGCAGTAACTAAAACCAGACAGCAGAGAGAGCTAGAGACCCACCAGTTGAGGTTTCTGAAAGTCAGGCGGCCCATGAAGCAATGATCTTTCTGTGTTTAAAATGTGTCTAATGAGGATTTATATACTGACCTTGTACGGAATCCCCACCAACAGCCTGATGCTGCAGTACAGCCTCTATGTTTGAAACAGTTTTACCAACAAGTGACTTGTGGGCCTATACTGCTGCAGTATGTGTCTGTAGTTTGTTTCTGTGAATGTTGTATCTATAAACCCAAACATTATTTTTGCTGGTATTGTCTCTGTTGTTGTTGTTTCTTACAAAGAGAGCAATTGGCCTGCACAAGGCGCCAAAACTCAAGTTTCACTGAAAAAAAATTTGGTATTTTATAATTTGATTATACCCACAAATTTGTGAGGGAATTTGCACCACAAAAGTAAAATATCAACTATGGTGGATCCTGCATTATTACCTAATCTTGATACCTTGTCTTGTTAGAAGTATAGTTTTAAGACCTGAAATAATAAGTTTCTATTGGTTGTTTCCAAGCTTTTAGCTCGAGACCCCTTATAACTAAGCAGCATCCACTTGCAAACTCTCATCATAGTAATTCCACCCTCTCAGGGTGTTAGAGGTAAAACTATCTAACGCTAATATTTCACAAAAAAATGTTTTAAATCTGTAAAATTAGGATTAATTGATATTATGTGAAAACAATGACTTCTACCTCAGATTAATCGAGTGACCCATTGAACTGGTTTGTATTATGCTATATGCTGTAGTCCTAAATACAGTTGTGTTTAGTCAAATTACAACACAACTAACTGACACATAGCAATCCTGTGGCAGGGTAGTTTTTCCAGCAACAAGAGCTGTTTTTTTATTAGGTCATCAGGCAAATAGAGAGACATCTTCACATTTAGTCTGCTGTGTGCAGTGTGTATAGTACAGGGACCATACATACACAACTCACAGGGGGATGAAATGTGAGGTGGGGGTCAGTAGGAGCCCGAGAGCAAATTATTACCCTACGTCCCATGAACTTAATCCCACCATGGTTGGTTATTTCCTGAGATTATATGCATGTGTGTGTGTGTGTGTGTGTGTGTGTGTGTAAAGCTTTTGTAAGCAATAGCATAATCATACAAACATTGCACAAGGGTCTCCTTTCATAACCTGATTGAGGCTCCCCCCCCACACACACACACACACACACACACTCACCCACAGATTTACCTACCTACAAA